CATGCATTCATGCAATTCTCAGGTAAATTATGATCCGTTTTAATATTCATCAGCCTAACTGCTAGAGACAGTTTAGAGTGACCTTCTCTACACCAGTGTAGATTGGTTGATTTGCAGCATCTAACATTTCATAAAACCTTTTTGCATCCAAATTAGGTTCTTCAACATGAACAGTTTCATCTGCTATTGTTGTAGTGGTTTCTAAAAATGCATCGGTAATCATGTCGTGAACCCTATCATGATCTACCATCTGTTCAACACCCTGATTATTACTGACATTCTGAAAATTACTATTACTACTACTAGCTTCATTTCCTCCATAACCCTCCCCATGTTGAAACCAAATATAATACTGTGGTATAAAACCTCTGTGTACTAAATGTTCCCAGACAGTTTCCGCACGAGCAAATTTTGAATTCTTGCATTTCTGACAAGGACAGAACATCTTACCACTTTCCTGCGTGAGCGGTGTACATGCTGCCTGGTTCATGAACGTCTCAAGCCCGCTAAGAAATTCATTCGTCACTCTACCGTCAGAATCTTTATGCGTATACATCCAACTCCGCAATTCGAAAATATTTCTTCCATCCGACATTTTTTTTATTTCTTTTTGTGTGGTGGTATGAATTGAGAAATGAGAAATGCTCATATATATAGCAAACTCACGAAAATTGGTAGGTGAAAATTTACAATGTATTTACAAGGAACATATTTACATGGATATTACATGTCTCTAACATATAGGTTACAACATGTTTACAACGACATCAGTTACACATTAAAGTCGTGTTCACCTACCAGTATTCGTCGTAAAGCCATAGTAAATTTACGACGAATTTACAACGAAAGTTAAAAAAAAATTTGGATAAAATATTTTCTTCATTACTTAAACAAACCTAAAATGCATGGACAGTTACCAGAACAGTTCTCATCAACTTCTCGTATCTATTTATCGACTTCTCGAGAAAAAGTTACCAGGAGTTGATTAGAACTGTTCTGGTGACTGTTCACGCATTATAATTTCTTCAAAAATCGATACATAAGTTATCAAATTTTTTTTTTCTACGAATTTTTTTTTTTTTGTTTGTGGTGTTCTTAGGAGTGATTATGAATGACATATATATAGAAAATTTTCGTGCTTGGTTGGTAAAGATTTAACAACGAATTTACATGGAAACCTTTTACTACGATTTTACAAGGCATTTGTACATGCTTTACAACCATGTTACAACGAAAGTAGTTACTTAAGAACACGTTTTTGTTTACTTTTAATGTTTAAACATTACTCGTAATGTACTTGTAACTTTACTTCGTCTTTACAACGAATCTTTCTTTGCCTAGTACCTTCGTCGTAAATTTACTTGTCCTTTACGACGAAGGATTTTCCTTGTAACGTAACTAGTTCATTACGACGAATATGAATTTCGTCGTAAACGACTTGTAACGTACTCGAGGAAGGAAATTCCTCGTAATTTTTCCTCGTTAAAAGCGTGTTTTCTTGTAGTGATTGGGTCTCTCTTAAAACTATTCAACTTGAATATGGTATGTATCCCAATGGTGTCTGCTTTAGATACAGGCTTCATATTACTTTTATTGGATTATTTTGTTGTAATTTACTTTAATATATTTTTACGTATGTCAGTTACATATTATTTCTACATATCTATCATTTTAATGGATTCATTAGTAATACCTTCTTATTTAAATGTTTCATAATTGTTGGAGACGAGTTTGACATCCTTGTCAAAATCTTTATAAATTCAAATTGGTCAATTTATTAAATAAAAATCAGTAAAGATTGGGAAGTCGACAAGAAAAAAGAAATCGACAGTAATTTAAACATAAATAAAAGCTTACAGAAAAATAAAAAAAAACGGACTTCAAATTTATATTCTTCAAGTCCAAAAGATCATATGAAATCATCTCAAGAGCTTACTACACAAAGCCGAGAAAATCTAATCTCTTTCGGAAATGTCATTCTGGCAATTTAACTGGTTTTAACTATATTTGACTTGATACATGGTTGAAAGAGTATCTAGACATATTTTAACTGGATTTAACTATATAAAAAGAATTATATGTTTTTGTTTGTCTGCTAAAACATTTTCTCTGTTCATTCGCCGAGTTCTGATCTCAATACGAAAACTCTTTTAAACCCACTTCGAATTGTGTTCTTGTTACGTACGCCGAATTATGATGTCACACATGTGACTCTTGCATGTTCCCCAATACCCTCCACAGTATAATACACTTATGGATTCTAATGATGGGAAAAGGGCCTATTCCTACCCGAACAATTTCAATCGTGCCAAATACAACCCGAACAAACATCCAGTGCCAAATACGACCTGAACTACGTTATAATGCAAAAATACTACCTGAACCTTTTTAAACGTGCCTAAACCTACATTGACCGTAACATAAGTTAGTCAACCGTTAAAATGATAAATCGACGTCGGGAAAAGGGCCTATTCCTACCCAAACAATTACAATCGTGCCAATTACAACCCGAACAAACATCCAATGCCAAATACGACCTGAACTACGTTATAATGCAAAAATACTACCTGAACTTTTTAAAACGTGCCTAAACCTACATTGATCGTAATATAAGTTAATCAACCGTTAAAATGATAAAACGACGTCGTTTTGATTCTATTATTAAAAAATAAACATTCCGGGAATCGAACCCGGGCTTTGTCACTTTTTAAAACATACACATCAACCACTAGACTAAAGCAATTGTTTTTAAAAAATTATTAGAAATTTGCAATTATATATGCTACTATACTTTTTAATCTTCTCTAATTAAAACTTTTGTTATTATTATTTTTGATTCTTATAAATATATTAACATATTTTGTAATTATTATATCTTCAATAAAATTATATTATACTAAAATATAAATAATAAAATATTTATAATCATACAAAATTAAATATATTTCATGTTTTCAACCATTTACAAAATGTCCATATATAAATTATTTTAAAAATAAAACTTAATGGTAATTTATTTTATTTTGGTAAAGTATATTCAGCTTATATTAATTTTAAGAAACAAAAGAAATTAACTTTCAAGTTTTAAAATTTTAAAATAATTTATATATGGACATTTTGTAAATAGTTCAAAACATGAATATATTTAATTTTGTATAATTATAAATATTTTATTATTTATATTTTAGTATTTATAAGTTTATTATATATGTTAATATATTAATAAGAATCAAAAATAATAATAAGCAAAGTTTTAATTAGAGAAGATGAAAAAGTAAAAAAAATTGCTTTAGTCTAGTGGTTGATATGTCTGTTTTAAATAGTGGCAAGGCGCGAGTTCGAATCCCGGAATGTTCATATTTTTTAAAAAATAATGAAATTGAAACGACATTGTTTTATCATTTTAACGGTTGACTAACTTCTGTTACGGTCAATGTAGGTTTAGGCACATTTTAAAAGGTTCAGGTAGTATTTTTGAATTATAATGTAGTTCAGGTCGTATTTGGCACTGGATGTTTGTTCGGGTTGTATTTGGCACGATTGAAATTGTTTGGGTAGGAATAGACCCGACGTCGGTTTATCATTTTAACGGTTGACTAACTTCTGTTACGGTCAATGTAGGCTTAGGCACGTTTTAAAAAGTTCAGGTAGTATTTTTGCATTATAACGTAGTTTAGGTCGTATTTGGCACTGGATGTTTGTTCGGGTTGTATTTGGCACGATTGAAATTGTTCGGGTAGGAATACGCCCTTTTCCCTTCTAATGATGCTTGATTAAGCAGACAACGATCCGGTCATTTTGTGGACACGTTCTTAACTTCTTAGTGTTGCTAATTTCTTCTTTTCATTGGTTAAAAAATAAGTTATTTTGATGTTTTATGACGGACATGCTTTTATGATTGTACTAGGTGCTTTGATGTACCATTAGAGAAATTAAAGTTTTAAAATTTAAATCATATTTGAAATAAGCTAAAATAAAAATATTTAAATTTATAATATATATATATATATATATTTAAATGATAATCTTGAAACTGTTTTTGTCTATTGCTTTTGGTTACAATATATTAAATCAAATTCTATATATTAAGAGAAATTAGGTTAAGTATATAATTATCAAAACATAAAACTAAATGATATTTCAAAATTGTAGATGTTAGAAAATAAACTAATAATAATGAGATTAGAAAATTAGAATTTTTTTAAAAAATTCATATTGAAGATTTGTTTAATAATAAAAATGATAAAATTATAAGATTAGAATTACATATTATTTCATAAATTTAAAGTATTATTATATTTTATTTATAATATTATATTATGTATTCATATATTAATGATGATTATGAATTCTTATCATATTTTCAATTATTTACCAAACACTTAAAACAATAATTAGTTTAAATATTTATGTCAATATTAGTTTTAATTTATGTCATCATTGTTATTATGACTTGTCATTTTTTTTTTGATAATTAAAGAGTTGATGACACATGACAAATCTCTTTTCAAATATCTAGTGGATCCCGACAACTCTTATAACTGAGGGCGTTACTTAGATTAATGTAAGACACTAATTAGAAAATATGGTTAGGAATTAAAATTTACAAGAAGAGTTTATTCACGATCATCAAATAACCTTAATTGAATCATAATATACATTGTTCTTCTTCTTTTTTTTTTGTCACAATAATATACATTGTTCACTATTGAATAAATATTGCCAGTAACAACAATTAGAAAGGTAAACTTACATACACATGTACACATGCTTTGAACGGTCTAGAATATTCGAACTTCCAGAAATGTTAGTGGAGATACCCCATGAAATTTAATGACATGACTTGCAAGTGTGTGGCAACGAGTAATGGCAACAAAGCTTTGAAACTAAGGGACATATTTTACAACATTTAGTAGCTAAAATCCTCAACCACAAGAATCATGCATGTACATGTATAAAACCCCACTTTGATACATTCCCACGTTGTGTTAGCTTATACACCCCAATTTAGATTGAGTCCAACGAATTAGTCAAACACTTGTATCTTTTTATTTTCCAAGTCATCTAGGTCTTGTCTTCATCTTCTGTTCCAAGGTTTCTAATCATATGTGCGAGGGAGAATCTGTTTAACACATTTGGGGGACAGATCTATATTTGACCCACCAGCATATTCAAACGCGAATAATCACAAAGCTCTGTAATATATTATACAAAAGCATCCTAAGCCAGAACATGGAGGTTAGTCATAGTCACATGCATTATATATCATTCACATGTGACCAGTAACACAAAATACTGTATTTAGAAGCGTCTAAACTTTTGAGTTTTGACCAGATCTTTCAATGGCTCTTCAAATTAGGAAAGGAAGTACGCAGATCAGAGTCATCCTCATTCAACTGTAATGCTCATGAAGCCTCTACAACCCTAACAAGTAAGTTACAAAACATTTCTTGATCTTCGAAGTTAGATTACAATGTATAGCGCACTAGATAGTTAATTTATCAGAAGATTTTAAAGGTTACCAGATTGGCTTGAATATTTTGCCTTTTGGTGCTTTGCAAGTTAACATGTAATAACGTGATTAAGGTTGCTCAGATCGCAGAACAAGAAAGTCATCAACAAGAGGGTCTAAACATCAAAAACAGAGGAATCACAGAAAAATCTGGTTATGGTGTCAAAAAGATGTAGCTGAAGCTTGTTTCTATAGCACACTGAATTTAAAACGACTTGGTAGCTTAAAGAGAGAACAGTTGCTTCGCGCCATGGCAAAAATGAAGGCACAAGTAGCAGAAGAAAAAGAAATGACATTGACAAGGTCTGATCCGAAAAAGGCTATCAGAGCCTTGGAACCGGAGAAACGCGAAGAAAGCAACAAAGACAAGGTTAAGAGCGAGCAGAGCAAATCTAAGGCCACACTTTCAAGGATGAAGGAGCTTCTAAGATGGGCTGCAGCAGCCAAATCCGACAAAGCTGCCAAATTCTTTACCCCTAAGGTATATTCACCAATACAAACTCAAATTGATTAGTAATGATTGTTCTGATGAAGCATCGTTTTGAAGATAATGGAGTTACGAAACCGAAGAAAGTTGAAGACAATGAGAGAGACGAATGAAGAATCAAAAAGAATGAGTAGTGCAAGTATAAGTTTTAGATGGGAGAGTAGTGAGAGTTGCAAAACTTTCTCTTCTTCTGATCACATGTCCATAGTTTCTGCCCCAGCAAACTTTGATTCCTTGGGTCCTACGCCACCTTATCGATGTAGGTCCAGGAAAGGCAACTGGATCACTACTGATTCTGAATGTAAGACCATAACATAATAATTAAATTTTTGAAATTTCTTATATCTACAACTTTTTGTCTACAAATAAAGTATTTTAAAAATTTGAAAATAAGAAAACTAACTCCAAAATCTGATCCGTAAAAATGAATACTTTCAACTAAAAGTTGCTATATAAAAATGTATGCTCCTTGCAACTGTGTATACTATTCTAATGTCTCTTATGTATTTTGGATTCTGCAGTTGTGGTGTTAGAGTTATAAAGAGAGGATAGATGTGGATGGTGACAATGATGAGTACAACCAATTGATTCCTTGGCTGCCAGACCATTTGTGATTAATTAATAATTATTTTTTCTGTAGTTTCAACTTTTATTATATGTACATTTTATATAAAACATACTAGAATGATCGGTCTATGTGATGCGTAGACATGAGAAAGTAGTTAATTGCTATTTTAAAGTTTTATTATAATATGCATGATGCGTATAATCCAATATGATTCAAAGTGTTAATTTAGATAAAAGTAAGTCTATAACTGACCTAAGTTAGCTTTGATGGAACAAAAGCTATAGAAACCGGCATCAGTTATACGAGTAACGAGTTAGTTAAGAATAAGAGATAGATAATAGATAGTGCAAAATAATCTCCAGCACAAACATATGCTCTTAAAATTCCAAAAAAAATAAATAGTTTAATTTCTCTTGATATAATTATGGGAAATTGGGTGAAATAACAAAAAAAAAAACCAAAATTTATTATCTAACTAAAAAGGGTGAATTTGCTCAGTAGCCAAATTCTCAATGGAAATTAAGAAAATAACATTGATTTTGACATTATTAACTAAGTAGCTTTTGTCTCATATTTTATCCGGTTATATCCTTTGCATTAGCAAGTTCCCGGTAGAAAGAGTGTATGACATCATTACTTGGTTTATAGATAGAAGTGAAACACCATTGTTTTCACCTCACATAATGCATACACGTTGCACTTTTATTTTCCACATACATATGTATTATATGCAGTAAAATGAATGATTAAATTTGTTTCGTGCAATCACAGATAAATATATGACATGAATTCAGTCCATCTGAGACCATATTATTCAAATGGAAGAGAAAACACAATTTAAATGGAAACAGATCCAAGCGGAACAGACAAGCAATTGATACTATCTGAAGTGGAATAGTACAATTGAATAATTACCATTTCATGTCAAATCGAAAGGAGATTGGTAACTATTTCTGTTCCATTCTACATAGGTCATCCCTTCCATTCCGTTTTTATATTCATATGTTCCATTCCGTTATTCTATTAAGTAGGCTTACGACATATATTATTAGTAGGTGGGTTAGGAATTAGGTTAATCTTTTTCTTTTTCTCACATTAATATCTTTCTTTTAGTGCCCCATTTACTTTTTTTTGTATAAACCCCATAAATTGTCATTTAAAAGACAATTAAGAAAATAACTAACAACAATTAAGAAAATATAAAAACTAGTACATTGCAGATTAACCCCTTTCTTATGTTAAAATGCTATGGAAATATAAACCATATTTAAAAATGCTATGGACGCTAATCACTAAACAAAAATTAAGAAAATATAAACCCCAATCCATTAACGATTAACCCCCTTCTTATGATAATCTTCAAACAGTTTACCTAGTTTTGTTCCATTATAACTAGATCATCCATTCCATTCCGTTTTTGTATTCATATGTTCCATTCCGTTTTTTTATCAATTAGGACTACTACATACGGTATTAAGAGGTAGGTTAGGAAAGTGACTAGTACATTGTCATTTAAAAAGTTATGGACGCTAATCACTAAACAAAAATTAAGAAAATATAAACCCTAATACATTGGCGATTAACCCCTTTCTTATGTTAAAATGCTATCAAAATATAAATCCCATTTAAAATGCTATGGACGGTAATCACTAAACAAAAATTAAGAAAATATAAACCCCAATTCATTGCCGATTAACCCCTTCCTTATGATAATCTTTTTCATTTTCTCACCTTAATCTCATACTTTTGTATAAACCCCATAAATTGTCATTTAAAAGAGTATGGACGCTAATCACTAAACGAAAATTAAGAAATATAAACCCTAATACATTGGCGATTAACCCCTAAACCAAAATTAAATTTCATTCCATTCTTTAACTATTCCATACAAATGAGTATATTATCCAGTATGGTACATGTCTCCAGCTATATCAGTCGATCTATTCCATACAGTATATTCCTATTCCATAAACAAAAATTGGGAGGTAATCACTAAACAAAAATTAAGAAAATATAAACCCCAATCCATTGCCGATTAACCCCTTCCTTATGATAATATTTTTCATTTTCTCACCTTAATCTACTACTTTTGTATAAACCCCATAAATTGTCATTTAAAAGGGTATGGACGCTAATCACTAAACAAAATTAAGAAAATATAAACCCTAATACATTGGCGATTAACCCCTAAAAAAAAATTAAATTACATTCCATTCTTTAACTATTCCATACAAATGAGTATATTATCCAATATGGTACATGTCTCCTGCTATATCGGTCGATCTATTCCACTGGGTTCAAACTCTGTGGCGAACAATCTACTTGGAAGGCCCAAATCGTCCATGTCAGACCTAACATCAAAAAACGAGGGGAAGATAGTTAGTATAAAGTAGATATACAATGATGTAACCAAAGTAAACATGATGGTAAAGTGAAGCAGGCTGGACATATAATATTGCAGAACAATCTAGGTGGAATCAAACAACCGTGAATGGATAATACGGAAGTTCAATTCCATCCAGAATGGAACAAACTACAGACGTTCCATTCCATTCAGAATAGTGAACCATCCAAAATGGAATGGAATATGTATCCAATCGAACAAACAGTATATATAATACATTCGGTGTTCTCTATCACGTATATTAACCAAAATGTCAACTGTATGGAATAATACAACCACTAAATATTAAACCATAATCACAAATAAGTTAACACTAAATCAAAATATAAACCATCAACCCAAATGTAAACCAAACACCTCAGATAAACGCTACATCAAATGGAATGGCACATATTCAAATAACATAGTACGCAATGGTATGGAATTATCATAAATTTGTGAGCGTCATTACAATCCATTTGGAATGGTATAGACAGGAATTCCATTCTATGTACATGGAATGTAATATATATTTATTTCGATACTATACCCTAAACTCCAATAAGTTAACCCTAAACCCAACAGACCCACTAAACACTATACCCTAATCACAAATAAGTTAACCCTAAACGAAAATCTAAACCAGAAAAAGCAAATAGAAACCCCAACTTTTCATGTAAACTCCACATCAAATGGAATGGAATGCGCAAGTCAACAGGAAACCGTAAAGAACAGAGGAAACATCCCAAATCTGGAATTTCTATTCCATTGTACTTGGAATGGACCGAAACGTATGGATCTAGTTATGAAATCTATAGAATTTACATGCAGTTGGCAAGACAGGGAAGAAGGACGAAAAGGAGAAGACATTAATTTGGACTACAAACTAGGGAAACAATTGACAATAAGAGGATTCCCAACAAAAGGGGAGATAAGAACAAACCTGAAGAACAAAGTAAGAGGGAAGCATGGTTATGATAGAGTAATTAATTCTATTGTATATAGAAAACAATATTTTATATTTCAAACAATATGATTGTTGATAATGAATGGTAGAGCATACATTACAGATCATTCAGTTCCATCGCACGTAGAATAGTTTATCAATCGATTCCATCTTAAATAGAATAGGTTGAACATATATTTTTTCTATTCCATCTCAAATAAAATAGTCATAAGAGATCTCACGCAAATAAGTTGTATTACATATGCTATTCCATACAACAAACTATATTACTATACTATTTACTATGTATATATCCTAAAATGCAAAATTAACAACAACCGGAGAAACCAAATCTCTAAATCAATTGGCGAACTTTGACACAAAAATCAGATCCAACATGCAATAGTAACGAGGTTGTAGATTTATCAATCATAATTTCCTAATTCCGTCAATAGCCCAAATAGAAAAGAAAAATAGGAAGAGTTTGTTACTAACCGTTGTTGTAACTTTAACGCCGTACGATATTGGTGAATGGTACAATAGCCCAAATAGAAAATAAAAATAGGAAGAGTTTGTTACTAACCGTTGATGTAACTTTAACGCCGTACGATGCCGGTGAATGGTACAAGCGGAGAAAAGTACACAATTGGAGTGGGAGTATGACGGATATGGCAAAGCTTTCAAAAATCAGGCGGAGGAGGCGTTGCGGAGAAAATCTGTGCCGGAGATCTTTCATCTTCAAAAAAGTTACGAAAGGAAAGAAAAAGGAAAAGAAAGGGAAGATGTGGGGTTAGGTAAGCCACGTTTTATTTTTGTGCATCTGATAATTAATATTTTATTTTTTGTTGAGTAGGTTACACCGGTTAAAGAAAGGGGTATTACAGTATTATTATGTATATATAACGGCGTGTATATGACTGTTAGGGGAAATAGCTAGTTGGTGAATTAGATTTTTTTTCATGGCCATACCGTCCAATTTCCCAACTAAAAATACCCCCTCTCTCTTCATTCCCCTTCCTATCTCTCTCTTCCCCTCTCTCTAAAAAACTAAATAATTTTTTTTTTGGTTATTGAGCAAAAAAGCCCTATAATTATCCAACTTTTTAAGTTTCAATATAGTAGTTTATACTCTAAAGCTATGACTGGTAATTTGTAGAGTAAAAATATGATAAATAAAAGAGTGAAATGAGGAGGAAAGAGAAAAGCATACCTCAGGTAAAACTTTTTTTTTTGGTTTATGTAGAGTAACATATTTTTCTGATTTCTTCTTTATTAGAGTAAGTAGAAAACATATTTCATCTGATTGGTGAAAACGAGACTAACTGAGCAAATTTATTTTTCTTAATTATATTATGCTAGTAATACCGTCCAGTCACACTCAGAGGTTATGAATGACAACTACAAAGGAAACGTGAATTTATATCAATTTCTTTCTTTTGTGCTTCAATAACTAAATGATTTGAAAACCTTATAGCACCTCCATCCATGAGAACCTCTCAAGAGTTCTTTAGATTAATTTAAGAGTTAAAAAGTTGATTTGAAAACTTAAGAGCCTTAGCTAGAGCTAACTAATTTTTTTACCTCCAATGGGAGAATTTTATAGGGGTTCTTAAATTTTTTTTTTTTTTGCTTGGTTTGTTTCTCACAAGAAAATAGGAGAAATTTGAAATATGAATAAGGAGAAGAAAAATGGGTAAAGGCAAGTTGAAGCAAAGACAAGTTATTGTTTCTCTCGTGTTGTTGTTGGTTTGTTTCCCACAAGAAAATCTGAAAGCATTCTTATGCCAACATGTTGGCCACCTGCAATAAAAAACAAACAGAGCAAATGTACGTCAGACCATCACGAGTTAC